TTGTATACTTGACATAATTAATGGTTCTCTTACACTAAATTTGATTCATTCAGACTATAAGACAACCCTTTTATATCATATTCACTCTGTATTGAGGTTTTCTTTTTCTTTTTTTAAAAAAGTCTTTGGTAATACAGTTGATTTTCCAATCTTGATGAGCACTACTATGCTATATGATACGGACACAGTGAATAATTACATTAGTCTAATAAGTATGCTATATGATATGGACAATGTGAATAATTTGTTTCTTTAGAAATATTTAAATTTTTTTACCAAATGATTTTAAATGTATTTTGTATGAAAGCAAAATAGCAGGTTGCATTTGGAATCATCTCAGTAGGTAGTCTGTTTTGGAGTAGGAAGGAGATAAGCTGGAAAGAATTTGTGTGCAATGATGAGTTTTTATACTACTTTTAGGCAACCTTGGCATTTACTTAAACATTAGTTCAACAGACTCTCTAGATCTCTATTTTGTATTTAAGATAGTAGTAGCAAATAGAGCTTGAAGTGGAATATGAATAATTTTGACTTTTGAGATAGGAGAAATAAATTGTTTTCATTTTCTGAGGGCACACTTGGTACCAGAATCTTTTAGTGATCACGAAATAAAGGTAAACATAATTGGGGTAAAAAAAAAACAGGCTTAAATTCTTTTACTCTCATGATGTTTGTAAGTGAGCAAGCTAGGTTTTAGAGACACACAGAGAAACTACTGTGACTGTGAAGGTTTCTTCCTGTAGCTTTATGTTAGTCCAAATATAACATTACTTGATGAATTCTCAGTAAATGTACAGAAGTAGTCATGTGTGACCAAACTTTAATGTCCGCTTGGAACTAGTGCTTTCTTATCGTTTGGAAGAAAAAATTATTTTAAACCATTTAACATCTGGGAATGACTATAATTATGACAGGACGAACTTTATTTTCACTAGAAGATAGAATAGCATAGTGAAAGGAGCACTGGAATGAAAATCAGGAACCTAGGATCTCTACTTGCCCTTTTTTTCAGTACTTGGCTGTGGGACCTTAAACAACTTATTTAATCTCTGAGTTTTAGATACTTTTTGTGTAAAATGAGAGAGTTAGAATTAAATATCAAGGTCCCTTCCACCTAAGGGAAGGACGATTTGTAATAAAACAAATAGTATTAAGGAGGACACCCAAGACTGTTTGGTTAGAATCATCCAGTTGAGCAAGAAATTAAAAAAGAATATATATATACATACATATATATATAGATATCTATATATATATAGATATATATATGTAAAACCTTGCTCAATCATCCAGTTGAGCAAGAAAGTACAAAAGAATATATATGTATATACACACATGTGTATATATTCATATATTCATTAATATATATACGTGTGTGTATATACATATATATTCTTTTTAAATTTATATATAGTGTGTATATATATAAAAAGAATATATAGTGTGTATATACATAGCTGGTGTGTATATACCTATATATTCTTTTTAAGTTATATATATAATTATATATATACATATAATTTTATATATATATATATAGTTACTCAGCAATAGTGTGGGATCCAGAGACAGAACATGGAGTTGAATCCTGGCTTAATCATTACTGGCTATGTGGCCTTAGGCAAGTAACCCTGATTTTCAATTTTCTTATCTTTAATAGGGATTATACTACCTGCCTATGACAGAGACTGCCAAATACACTCCAGTAGCCATTCTGCTTTTCTTCTTTTCAGAAATAAAATTTCTAGTCCTGTCTGAAGTTTAAGCTAGCCTGTGACTACCCAAGTGCAACTGTATTTCCCAGGTAGATGCTGGTAGATTGGGCCCAGTAAGTTTGGGCCATTGAGATGTGAAAGGAAGAGATGTGGGCAACTTTTTGGGTCATCTTCTTAAAGAAAAAGCCATTTGTCCTGGATGTCCTCTTTTCTTTCTTTGGCTGGGAAATGACAAGAATTAAAGCAGCGGCCTTGGAGCCAGAGACTGACGCCAAATGATGAAGACAGCAGAACTGACCGGCTTGTCTGGGTTCCCTGGAGCAGAGCTGTCTCCCCCTACCCTAGGTTATCTACTTACTCTTGCACTGTTTTGTGAGAGAGAAATAAATTTCTATCTTATTTAAGCCCTTGGTTTTTTTTGTATTTATTTGTTACAGCTGATTAGTCTACCTAGTGGCCTAAACAAAACACTACCTTAAAGAGTTGTGAATACTAGAGATTATAAATTGCCCAGTTTAACAGGTGGCACATTAAATATCACTCTAGCAGTGTTATCTACCATTTGTTAAATGTTCACTTTCCATCATTGTGGGTGGGGTGCAATGCCAAATGTAATGATCATCAAAATAGTCTCTATTATAAGCATTTACATATTTGTTTCCTAAAATTCCATCATCTCAGCTGTTCTTACCAGGCTTTAATAGACCCCATGTGTTGAGGTTCCCTTAATTTCCTTTTTGCTTCCTTTGTTTCTTTTTATTCCTTTGTGATACAAGAAAGCATGGCAGCATCACCTCATTTTATAGGAATGGGGAGATCAGGTTGAAGGTTAAGTGGCTTGTGTAAGGAGTGAAAGAAACAAGGCTTTCAAGTGTAGCTTAGAAAATGGGAGTTTGGTATTTTTATGGGAAAAAAAAGTCTAATTGACAGACTTTCTGAATTAAACTTTTTATGCTTGATTGTTCACTTAAGTATTAAATCTTTCAAGTATTATCTATATCAGTACTGACTAATCTGCCTTTAGTTATATAATAGCTGATCCAGCCTTTCCTTTTAAGAAAATCCTTGATGTATTAGACCATTAGAACAAATTCTAACATTTGGTGTTCATTAGTGTTGTAACCGAAACAAAAACATTTTAATGGTTAATCCCTGAGTATTTTGAAGTTAGTGTAATTTTGCTGGAAAGGTATTTAAGCTTTAGTATCAATTACAAATAGGCCACGATCCAATTTTCAAAGCTGTTTCTAAGTGAGACACTGAGTTTTTCTGAATGCAAAAAATGCATTATGCAGCATTGTGCCATGTGACAAGGAAACAGAATGGAACAATTACAATGAGATTTGTATTGATAATTGCACTTCTGTGTGAATAGTATAAGATACTGTGACGCAAAGTGAGGTTTGGAGTAACTCCCCAGCGTCTTCAACAATTGCTTCAATTTAGTTGTAGACCATAAAGAGGTATTTTCGATATAAAAAAGGATAGAAATTGCTGGGTAACAATTAAAACTTCAAATTCAACAGTTAGGGTTTAGCCAATTGACTTTAATAAAATGGAATGCTTTAACTTTTTGACTCTAAATTTCAGGAAAATTGCTAATTGTCTTTTATTAAGGTAAAATGACTTTTTGTTATGTAGTGTTAAAAAGGTCAAATCTCCTCTTAACGTACTAGGTTGGTGCAAACGTAATTGTGTTTTTTGCCATTGCTAGTTTTTGGCAGTGCTAAAGAGTTTAGCAAAAATGATTTTTCTTCTAAAGAATATTCAAATTAATTTACTTTGCTCTTGGTAAATGCTGAAGAAAGGAACAGTGAAGTATTGTAAGTGCATTCAAAATGGATTCTTCAGTTCGTTTGTCACCCTAAAGCAAAAAAAGAAGTGGAAGACAATAATTAGATGGATAGTAAATATAATCTAATGATTTATATGTTGTTTTGACATTTAACCATAGATACTATTGCTTTAAAGGACTCTTTAAAAAAAATCTTAGCATATTTTTTATTCAGAGTTGTTTTGACTTAGGTACTTTTTCCATATAAGAGACAAAAATTTCACAAATATTAGATCTATTTCAACAAGTGCTTTGGAAACACTATGTAGATTTGCAATGCAGTTTACATTAGCACAATAAATATTTCTTAATCCTGTGCTTTATGAGTTTCTGGATATTTAAACAATATGTTTAGGTCATTTTGAATTATTTTTATTATGATTGTGAACTAATTTGTTTACGTGTAGTTATTGTGTGTTTCGGCTCTATCAGTACTTCAACAAGGCAGTTTAATTAATATCACCGCTATCACAAGATAATTTACTTTTTTCCCCCTCTATGATAACTTTTTGGGTAGAAATTTGCTTTGGAGTTTAATTTTTGGAAATATATTAGTCACTTGACATACTTTAATATTCAAAATAATTCACAGTGAATCTGGATTTTTTAGTGACTAGTTAATGTCCTTGGCAGACATTTTTGTTTTGATGAAGTTCATTTTATCAGTTGTTATTCTTGCAAGGCTTGTGCTTTTTGTATGCTAAAAAAATCTTTGCCCAGCTTAAGGTCTTGAAGGTTTCTTTCTAGATTTTATTCTGGAAATTTGATAGTTTTTAGCTTTTTCATTTATGTCTATAATCCATTTTGAGTTAATTTTTATGTATGTTGACTATGGATTTTATCTGTGTTTTGAAAATGTTTGTACAGAAAGACAACTTTAGTGACAGTGTGGAGGTTCCAATGAAAAGAGTGAAAAGACAGGGAATATGAGTTGATAATGACTAGAAGTAGGATAGCAGTTCTGCACATCAAAAAAGCAGGGAAGAGGAGAGTTTTGATGGCATTTTAGAAACAGAATGAATTGGATGGGGAGGGAGCATGGAGGTAGAAGTAAAGATGAGTCTAAGGCTTATGGTTCCACCAGAACTGGAATATAGGACAAAGGGAAGTTTTATCATTCTCCATTGTGATGAGTGGAGTTCTGTTTTCAAACTCTTGAGTTTATGTGATAGCAGGACTTTCAGTCCTTGTCCACATGTATACATGTTGAGGAATAGCCAGATTCTTAGTGAAAACATCTTTTCTTTAATTCACTATAACTAATTTTTTATGTTATTACAAAGTTCCCATTGTGTTAATTTTTGTAGCTTCTCAACAGTATTTATAGAGTAAAACTATTATATCTACTATGCAAAATAATGATTAAAAAAATAATGCCACTAAAGTGGCTTCTGCTGTATTTCCCTCCCCTGTTTCCAATACAACTTGACCACTAATAAGAATATTTTGTCAGTCTTTGTCTAGGTATGCAGACATCTCATCTCATTCTTTCCACAGAGGTAAAATTGTATTATCCTTACTCATTTTGATGCTCATGTTATCCCAGGCATGGTCAGTGGAAATGACATACATTAAGCTAACTATTGTGTCCTTTCGACATGTCTTATAGTTATTTGAGAATTTTCTTAAATTCTGTTATAATAAGATATTCTAGGTGCATCTTATACTTTCCCTGGTCTAGCCCTGTACTCAGCCATTTCACTCCAGGGTCCTGGTTATTTTTAGTGGAAAATGATATTTAGAAACAAAGATGTGAATACTAGATGTGCTCATTGCTATGAAGACATCATTTCTTTTAGGTTTTGTCAGTGGACAGAGCTTATATTTACACATATAAAAATGTGTATGTGCATATGCACACAGGAAGGTAGATAGTACACATGTGATTTTTTTAGATCAAACCATCTTTATAAATAACAATAAGTTTACACCTATACCTCCAATTCCAATTCCAATCCAGTCCAATAGATTATTTCTTTTCTGTTCTTTTCCCTTTCCATGTTTGCAACTCCCTCTTCTTGCAGTGGAAACCTGGCTTCTATTAAGTCAATATATTTACTTATTTGCTCCATTATTTGTATGTAATGAATCTCCTGGCTGCACCTGGCCCCAAATTCTTGCTCCAAGACACACCAGCTCCCATCCCCAAAAGCCTTGTGCAACCCAGGCAGAAGGGAAACAGATGAAAGGGAAGGGAGAAGGGGGAAGTTTTTCCCAAGAATTTTTTTTTTTTTAAATTAGCCCTATGGTTAAAAAAATAGAAGAAAGGAAAGAGCTATGTAGAATTTTAAACTTGTGAATAGTCAGTTTTGTCCATCTTTCCCTTTTTTAATGGTTTCTGACTTTTTTGTCACAAAGGTTATGAAAATATAGCTTCTTAGTACTTTTTATGGCTTTTGTTATTTTTTTCTTTTTTTTTCCCCTGGTTTCTGTGAACCTATTTTTTTTTTTTTTTACATTTTAATTTTAGTACACCTGAGATTTATTTGGAGAGTATTTTAGGATCTAATTATATTTTATTTTTCTGAATGGATAACTAGTTATTTCAACATTATTTTGACTAATTTATCCTTTCTCCACTGATTTGAAATACCATCTCCATTGTATCCTGTTCTCCATTGTTCTGTTACTATACTCTTCTGTTCCACTTATCTGTTTGTTTTTTAAATTGCATGCCTGATAGTGGGATAGTGTAGTATTTATTGCCTAGAGTGGTTGTGAGCATTAAATGAGAATGTACATAAAATAGTGTGGTACCAGTCATGTAGTATAAAATGGTCAACATGCATTTGCGACTATTAGCATCTCAGGGTAAAAAGAATCAACTACAAACAATAGGAAAGTAAATTACAAAAAAGTAAAAATTATAGTAAGTAGTGGCTTTTTAAAAAAACAAAAACGTGTAGGATATTTAATTTTTATACTCTGCGTATGGAGTGGCAAAAGTTTATAGGCTTTATATACAGATAAATTATGTTTTAAAATATGTCCAATATTAGATAAAGTTGTTTAGACTTACAGATGCTCTAGACTGCAAGCTCTTTGAGGGCAGAGACTGTGTCTTATTTCATTTAACAAATACTTACTTAGCACCTCACTGTGCCAGGGTTTGGGCATAGAATAGGATATAATATCTACTGTGAGCAGCTCACAGACTGTTTGGGGAAACACACATATAAACAAATAAATATAAATAACATGCAAAGGGCTAATATATGTATACCAGTGTACTTAGTTGTCTTCCATTAATGTGGAAATATTTATATCAGAGCTCTACACATTCACTAAGGCATTTTTCTAAATAGAGGGTTGGGATGAGAATACTTAAATAGTGTTTTTATGCTGACTTCCCATGAACTATGTCCCAAAGTGCTTGTTGGTACCTCACCAAATCCTTATATAATACTAACCATGAAGAAGGCAAAAAATCACATTTTTGGAATGCATCTTTTTGTATATTTTCTGCTTTTAATATGTATTCCATCTGTAGTCCTCAATAGTGAATGTGTTTATATTGCATATTAATAAAATGATGGTCATTTCAGCACTAGTATTCTAGTGTTATTTTCTCTGAATGTTTCTTTCAGTTCTTTGACTGCCATCAGGTAATGAATTTGTATTTTTATAAGATCAAATTAGTGCATTTTTAATCCAAGCATCTGTTCTCTATTTGTTCCACACCTGTGACAAGATTATTTCAACCATTCACTTATAAAAGAGAAACACATTGTCAAGGGGCAACCCCCCTTTGAAGCATACATTATATTTTTTGCACAAGTAACCATGTGAAAAATACCAATTACTGAAAATCTGAGAAGAACGAAGTTACTTCTAAACCTAGTATTCGTACAAAAAAGAAGGCTGTCTAAATGCAAACCACACTGAGGTGCAATAGACCAAATCTGTGTAACATAAACCTTTCAAGATCAATGTAGCTAAAAAGAATGTATCCATGATTAGGGACGGCAGCGTTGACAAAACAGTATTGTAAAAAATAACTAAAACAAAACAGCTGGCAACCAATCTGACAAACATGGACCTTAGCAGGAGGCTGTGGAATTTGAAGTACTTTAGTGAGTATTAGCAAATACTAGTGGACAGTTACAGGCCATATTTCTGTGTATACTTTTGAAAATATTCTAATGTACGTGTACATTAAATATTTTGACAAGTGAAATTATGAAATTTCTAAAAATTAAAAACCCAAATAAAGGTACCATTTCAGTTGGAATGAAGATCATAACAGTTTTGGATCTCAATCTGAGTTTAATTTAGATTCTGGTACCGTATCTATTAAGAAATACAATTTATTCTAGTGTCACCTTCCTTATCAGCAAATTGTCTTCAGAAGAAACACAAACAGGAGAGGTCTAGAGATGCCTTTTAGAATGTTAGAAAGACAGGATGTATAATGGATATGGCTAATGAAGACTGAGAGGCTAGCTTTGTTTAAATCCTAACTCTGTCACTTTTTAGGCTATTGAACAGTATTCTAAACATTTCTCTGGCTCAATTTCTTAAGCTGTAAAATGTTAGGCCCCATAAGGCTTCTCTGAAATTTTAGTTACGTAAAAAATGCTTAGCATGTTATTAGCACACGAGAAACCCTTAATAAATGCTGGCAGTAAAGTTCAACAGAAGTAGATTTTTTTCCTTGTGCATTTTCCCTCCATTTTTCTCTCATGCTAACCCTGTTGATCATGATTATTATTGTTTGTGTCTTTCTCTTTAGTTTTTTAACCATTCGGTTTTTTTTTTTCTGTTTCACTAACTCCGTTCTCTCTTTTTAAACCCTCTGTTTTCTCCACTTTACCCCATGTTGTTGTTTTTCTTTTAAAATTTTCCATCTTCCAACTCCTATTCTTTTTTCCACTGTATTTTAATTTTTAAAAAATTTAGATTTGGGGGTACACATGATCTGTTATATAGGTAATAGGTAAATGTGTCACGAGGGTTGGTTGTATGTATTATTTTATCACTCAAACATTAAGCCTGGTGTCCAATAGTGATCTTTTCTGCCCCTCTCTCTTCCCCGACCCTCCCCCATGAAGTAGATCCCAGTGTCTATTGTTTCTTCCTTGGTGTTCATAAGTTCTTATCATTTAGCCTCCTCTTATAAGTGAGAGTATGCAATATTTGTTTTTTTGTTCCTGTGTTTGCTAAGGATAATGGCCTCCAGCTCCATCCATGTACCCTCAGAAGACATGATCTCATTCTTCTTTATGGCTATATGGTATTCCATGAGGTATATGTACCACTTTTTCTTTATCCAATCTGTCATTGATGGACATTTAGGTTGATTCCCTGTCTCTGCTATTGCGAATAGTGCCGACTCCTATCTTTTATCTGACAGACCCAATGGCCACTCTTTATTTCATGTGCCTATGTCTGTGTATTTCTGCCACAGGGCTCTTAACCTGAGATCTCTAATGTCCTTCAGAGGACCTACTAATTTCTGAAATGATACAAAATTTTATGACTCTGCATTTTTATTTATTTACTTATTTTGAGATGGAGTTTCGGCTCTTGTTGTCTGGGCTGGAGTGGAGTGCAATGGTGCAATCTCAGCTCACTGCAACCTCTGCCTCCCAGGTTCAAGTGATTCTCCTACCTCAGTCTTCCAAGTGCTGGGATCACAGGCATGCACCACCACACCTGGCTAATTTTCTATTTTTAGTAGAGATGGAGTTCTACTAAACTCCAAGCCTTGTGATCCAAGCACGTTGGGAGGTGGAGGTGGGTGCATCACCTGAGACCTCCCAAAGTGCTTACATCACAAGGCATGAGCCTCCATGCCTGGCCGAATGTGCGTTTTTAAAAGGAGAGGTTCCATAGTTCTTTACAGGGTTCCAGAGGATTTCACTAATTCTATGAGTTTAAGAACCATTGCTTGATAGGAGATAGCAAACCTTCCCTCCCAGCTGATTTGTTGAACCTCTTTGCCATTTACCTTATTGGTATTAGGGAACTTTTCTATACAAGAAAAAGTGTTTCTCAGCATATACACTGGATTTGTATCATAATATTAGATTACGGTGTTATGTTTTAATATTTATAAGCAACAACTTTGTTTTTAAAGCTTTTTTTGTATTGTGCATTCCCTGAAAGTTCTTTTTCCCAGTTTCAGATATTCATTAACAAATGGCTAGCTCAGTTTAAAACAAGGTAAATATTTCTCATTTTAATTTTTTTCCCATTTCTATGTGAAATGCCCAAGTCATCATGGAACCAAAGCATTTGGTATTTTAGAAGCTAATTATCCAGTAGAAAAATAATGTTTTAAAATTAGTTATAAATTCACTAGAAAAAGATTCCAAATTGACAGCATTTGGTTTTTTTTTTTTTAAAGCTTTCTATAACAGAACAGTCATTAGACTTTTAGTATATATTTTTCTAGTTGGCCAAAGACCCAAAGTTGTGTTTTGTTTGTTTTATGGGGTTTTTAAGAAATTATTTTTAAAATTTTTTTGGTAGAGACTGGGTTTCACCATGCTGTTGCCCAGGCTGATCTTGGTGCTGCACTCAAGTGATCCACTTACCTTGGCCTCCCAATGTGCTGGGATTACAGGCATGAGCCACCGTGCCTGGCACCAAAGTTGTTTTCTTAACTAAAATCATCATTCACATGAATTATCATGACAGCCTGAAAAACATAGAACTCCTCTAGGAAAAGGAGATAACCCAGGAAGTCATTCTTTACACATCTTGTTCATGTTTAAATGTCTAAAGAAGGAAACTATTCCTTTGAAAATAGCACTGCTTTAACCTTTGCAATGATAATTCTGACCTCAAAAATAAAATGCCTGTTTTTAAGACCTTGGCTCTACAGGGGAATAATCAAACCAAATGAACAAACACAAACCTTGTGTATTCCCCTTTCCTTTTTTTAGCCACTAGTGATGAACCTTGGGTTAGCATGTGGAGCTTAGATAACACAATGCCAAATACATATTTAACAAAAGTGAACTGAGTGCCTAGCATGTGCTGGGCTTTGGGTGTACAATAGTGAATAATGACTATTTGAGAAAAACAAATATATTTGTATATATATGCCAGATGTATTCATATGCAAATAGTAGTATGTGCAATGAAGAAATAAATGGAGTCTGCGGAAACAGTAAATTTTGCTTTAGAATGCCATTAGTTATTTCATAGAAAAAAGAGAGCCTTTTATTTAGTCTCTATTAATTTGTTTTCTGTGTTTTAATAATGAAGTTGGTGGAAGGCCGTGATTTTTGGCTGTTTAGAAAAGAACTGCCAGGTTCACATTGGAGGTATTATCCACCCATTAGGATGGCTATTATGAAAAGGATAAAAAATAGCAAATGCTGGTGGAGATGTGTATAAAAGGGAACTTACATGTTAGTGCGAATGTAAACTAGTACAGCTACTATGGAGAACAGTATCGAGTTTCCTAAAAATAAAAATAAAAAACTACAAATAGATCTACCATACGATCCAGTGATTGTACTACTGGGAATTTATCCAAAGGAAAGGAAATGTTATATCACTGAGACTTCTGCACCCCCATGTTTATTGCAGCATTATTCACAATAGCCAAAATAGGGAATCAACCTAGGTGTCCAACAGTAGATGAATGAATAAAGAAAGTATATTATATATACACCATGGAATACTATTTGGCCATAAAAAAACAGTGAAATCCTGTCATTCACAGCAACATGGATGGAGCTGGAGGACATTATGTTAAGTGAAATAAGCCAGGAACAGTAAATTAGACACTGCATATTCCCACTCATTTGTGGAAGCTAAAAAAGTTGATTTCATAGAAGTAAAAAGTAGAACAGAGAATACCAAAGGGTGGGAAGGATGGGGAAAGGGAGTGATAGGGAAAGGTTTGTTAAGGGATACAAAATCACAGCTAGATAGGGGGATTAAGGTCTAGTGTTCTGTATTGCTGTAGGATGATTATAGTTAACAATAATATATAGTTTCAAATAGCTAGAAGGAGGATATTGAGCATTCTCAACACAGAGAAATGATAAATGTTAGAGATGATGGCTATGCTAACTACCCTCATCTGATTGCTATATATTATATGTATCAAAACATTACTGTGTACTCCATTAATATCTACGTTTTTGTCAATTAATAAAAAAAGAAAAGAAACTCTCATCAAAATTTTTGTGCCTTGAAACATAAAATTTGCTCTGGAAAGAAAACACCATGGCAAGATGTTGTCCACAGACTATAAAGTGGAAAAACTACAAGAGCTTTATTTTTCATAACTTTGTTTCCTTGATTCACAGACCTCTTAACAAGGCTGAATCATAGAAGCTAGATGTATTAGTTCCTTCTCATGCTGCTGTAAAGAACTTCCTGAGACTAGGTAATTTATAAAGAAAAGAGGTTAGTTCTGGATGGCTGCTGAGGCCTCAGGAAACTTACAATCATGGTGGAAGGCATTTCTTCACAGGGTGGCAGGAGAGAGAATGAGTGCAAGCAGGTGAAATGCCACATGCTTGTAAAGCCATCAGATCTTGTGAAACTCACTCTTTATCACGAGAACAGCATGGGAGAAACTGCCCCAATGATCCAATTACTTCCACTTGGTCCCACCCTTGCAGCATGGGGATTATTACAATTCAAGGTGAGATTTGGGTGGGAACACATAGCCAAACCATATCCCTAGGGCTCTTGAGACACTGTTTTGGAGATAGTTCTGAATTCTGGGTACTAAGGAATACCACTTGGACACTGATCCTTTTATTTTAAAGGTGGTGAACTGCTGAGTTTCAGTGTCCTCCTAATTGGGAATCCTATAGTTAAGCCTAAATTTTCAGTGTTTTGCTTTTTTTCCATCAAAAATGGCAGATACTATGTCCACTCAGAATA